CTGGATGCAGGCTCCTGGTGTGCTGTGGAGGGCCACGTGGGCTCAGGCTGCTTTGGGGCTCAGCCCCGGACTCCTTCCTGCAGGGTGTGCAGAAGAAGCGGCCCTGGGACATGCAGAGTGCCCTGCTGAGGCGGCACCTCCTGGAGCTCACACAGAGCTTCATCATCCCCCTGGTGAGGCCTGGGCAGGAGGGGAGGGCGGCAGAGGGCTATGACCCCAGGCTCACTCCCCTCCCACCCACAGGAGCATTACATGGCCAGCCTCATGCCACTGCAGAAGAGCATCACACCCTGGAAGGTGGGGTCCAGAGGGTTCTGGGAATGGTGGATTTTGTCCCCATCTCAGAGAAGTGAAGGGTGGGGTAGACGTCTACATGGAGCAGAGGTGGGGAGGGAGGTAGTGCACAAGTCACCCGGGGTCCCTCACAGGGCAGAGAAATGGGGAGGCCACCAGAAAGGGGTCTGACAAGCTCTAGAGGGGCTTCTGCCTGGGAAGGGCCATCCAGGGATCTGACAAGTCCTGTGAGGAGGTTCCCAGCCCCCAACAGGCAGGACCTGTCGGGCTGTGCTCCCCAAGCACCGAGCTCACCTGGCCCCCGTCTCAGACCCCTCCCCAGATCCGCCCCTTCCATCAGGAGGATTTCCTGCAGAGCCTGGAGCATGCAGGACCCCAGCTCACCTGCATTCTCAAGGGCGACTGGCTGGGCCTCTACAGGTTGGTAGATGGTGGACACAGGCTGCCCATGGCCACCCTTGGCACCCTGGAACAACCCAACAGCTGCTGCTACTTGCCACCCACAGGCGATTTTTTAAGTCACCCCATTTTGACGGCTGGTACCGGCAGCGGCACAAAGAGATGGCCCAGAGATTGGAAGCGCTGCACCTGGAGGCGATTTGTGAGGCGGTGAGGGAGGACCAGGGGTGAGAGGGTGGGCCCAATCCTGGACAGGGAGGGGGCCTCAGTGACAGAGAACCCAAAATGCCCCTGTCAGAACATCGAGACCTGGATGCAGGACAAGTCGGAGGTAGAAGTGGTAGACCTGGTGCTGAAACTTCGGGAGAAGCTGGTGAGACATCACCCTGTCCTGCCCAGCCACCACCTGTCCAGCAGGAGGGTCACATCTGCACCTGACAACCATTGCCCTTGCAGGTGCGGGCACAAAGCCACCAGCTGCCAGTGAAGGAGGTGACGTTGCAGCGGGCACAACTGTACATTGAGACGGTCATGGGCTCCCTGCCCAAGGATCTGCAGGCTGTCCTGTGCCCTCCCTAGGGTGGGGCAAGGTGTGCAGTCCCTGGAACCTGTCTGCCAAGCCCCTCCACCCTGGGGTGACCTTCAGCCAAGCCTGAGCTCCCAGCCTTTGCCCCCTTCCCAGGCTGTGGCCCCTCGACTTTCACCACCTTTGTCCCAGCAGTAAACGTGACATTTGGAACCACAGCCTGGTCCCTGACTGTTGGGGGATTATGTGCTGGCAAAACCGTGCCCCCCTTCTGGGCCCCACCTGCCCTCCATGGGCTGCAGCCAGAGGGAAGTGGGAGGGGACTGAGCTTTGGGCGCACCCACTGCCCACCCCTCCTGGCGCCCATCTGCCCACACTCCGTGTTTGAGGTGTCCTTTGGCCTCAGCAGGCTACCCTGCCTAGGAGGGGGGTAGGCCTCTCCCCTCACCATCTGCTCACCCCTGCCTTGTCTGGGGACAAGAAGGGCACCTGGTCCACAGTCAGGCTCTTGAGGGTAGGGGTTACTGTGCCATGTGAGGACCTGTCCCCTGCCTGCCTGGGGCTGTGGTTTATTGGGGTGGGGCAATCGAGGGGAGTGTGAGGGCCCAGCAGGGCTGCTGGGAAAGGCTCTCCTGGCATGGCCCTGGCTCCCTCTCTTGAAGCACCCCCGGGGGGCTGGGCAGTGGTTCAGTAAGAGCACCTGCCTGGCACACGGGAGGCCCTGGGTTCTGTCCCCAGCACCTAAAGGCAAGAAACAAAACCCATCCCAGTGAGTACCAGATCCATGCTCTCCATACAGGCACCTGCCAGTGGCCTGCCTGGCTGTCCCCTTGTGTCCACCCCTGCCATGGAGCATCCTGACCAGCTCCCACAGCCTTGGGGTACAGCTGATCTCTGTGGCAGGAGAGAGGGTACCATTTCTGAGGTGCCACCTTTGGGTATTGGTGTTCCCTTCATTCACCACCACCAGACCTGGGTCCAGTGAGGAACAGTGTCTCACCACTCAGCACAGGGTAGCAGCACCATCAGGGACCATGGGAGGACGTGCACTGAGGTGTGGACCCAGAACTGCAGCCAAATCTCAGTTGAGAATCACCTACTGGGAGCCTATGGGTGGGTCTCCTGACCACTCGGAACTTCAGTGTCCTTATCTGAAGACACTGAAACTAGACTATGTGGATGCCTCACAGGGCAGCTGCTGGGAGGCCCTGTCCACAGAGACTGGGCTCTGGCCCTGGGAGGCCCGAAAGGGGCACTGGTGGAGCAGGCAGGTAGGTGTAGGGCTGGGGGAGGGATTTTGCTTCTCTTCTGAAGCCCCGGGCAACTCAACTGTAAGGAATCCCGGCTCACATCCCCCTATGAAGCCAGGGTAGGTTGAGTGCTGCCTAGCTTTCCATGCTGGGCTTAGCCAAGTCCCCACAGGCCAAGGTGCTGGTCCAGTGTTCGTGAATGCCGGCAGTATTTGCACAGACATCCACCCCCGACCACAGCTGCTGTGCCCATTTTACAGAAGAGAAAACTGAAACACAGGAGAGGTGATGATGGGTGATGATGGCCAGATGAGCTAGGTCACTCCAGTGCAGGGTCAGAGGAGATGAGTGTTGGCAACAAGAGTTTGGGTGTGTGGAGGTGAAGACCCCAGAGTGAAGAAGGGCGACACCAACTCCTAGTGCAGCCCCAGGCAGTACCCCCAACTATCTGGCTTGGGTATGCCAGCTCCCTACTGAGCCTGGTCTCTAGGGTTTTTCCAAGGTGCTGGTGCCTTCCCATGTGGCCAGCCGCAACGCTGACCTCCACAAGAGGTTCTGTTGTAGGGCCCACTGCAAAGCCAGGTGCAGTGGCACATGCCTTTCATTCCAGCTACTCAGGAGGCTGAGGCAGGAGGATCACAAGTTGGAGGCAAAATAAAATTTTTTAAAAATGAGCTCAGAATTTATTTTATTCAAAATAAATTTTTTTAAAAATGAGCTCAGTGGTAGAGCACTTTCCTAGCAGCATGATGGCCTGGCTTCATCCCCAGTATCCCACACATACAACCTAAAACCGTGGCTTCAGCTGGGTCCTTCTGCCAGCTCCATCCTGTTGCTGCCCCCTGCTCTCCCAGGATGGCTGAGCTCTAAATGGCTTGGCCTCTGTCCCAAGCAGTGTCTTGGACCTGCCCTGCCTCCAAGCCAGGCCGAAGGTATAGCCTGGAGGTAGAGGAAGGTCTATAGAGAGGTAGGGGTTCCAGCCCCCCAAATTGGAGAGGGCTCTGAGCAGGCCTGTGGGGGTCAGGGAGGGCTGAGGGAAGTCATGCTGCAGAGCTGCTCCAGGGGCAGACAGGAAGGGTGGCTTTTTACCCTCCAGCTTCCTGTATTCTATTTCAAGACTCCTTTAATCTGGGATAGTGGCCTTCCTACATCTTTGGGATTAAAATGTGATAGTGCTTATCTTTTTTTTTTTTTAATAAAAAGTTTGCAGCCCTATTAGACCCTCGTAATTTTGGAGTACTCTAGTGGGGGGTGTTTGGCTGTTGTGACAGCTGCTGTTGTTCAGGACCCAGTTAGAGAAGGAGTGTGCTGGACAGGGTCAGGGCCTGGCTGTTTGGGACTGAGGGAAGACAGACAGACTGAAAGAACTAATGATTGACAGGTTCCCAATCAGATCTGCAATGGTTTTATCTAGCTGGAGGAGGCTGAGTATTGGGGCAGGTGCCAGGGTGGGGGAGCACTGGAGGAGGAGATGCCTGAGGAAGAGAGAAGAGGAAGTAAATCATCTGCAAGGTTGAGAAGTCCTCAGAGAAAGGATATCACAGAGCGGAGCCAGAGTAGGTTTAGGCCCCAAATCCTATCTGCAACTGGAGGGTCCGAATCCCGGGAGCATCGGGACTAGGGCATGGGGCGCTCAAGAGGCTGGAACTGGGGCCAGCTCCATCCCTAAAATGGGACCCTCAGGAAGAGTTTCTGTCCCTCTTACTGTCCTGGAAAAGAGGCAGATGAAGGGCCCTGAGTGAGTTTTGAGACTTGGTCCCAAGTGCCCTCTCTCCCTAGGAGGTTGGGCTGCTGTGGGTCCCGGTACAGGGTCAAGGTCAGGCAGCCCTCACCCAAAACGGCAGGATGGAACCGGCCTGTTCCCTTTTGGGGATGGGGCTGCTGCTGCCTGCTCATCTCAGAACGCTTGGGGACCTCTGGCATGCACGGGGTACCCCCTTAGTGCTAAGCCAAAGGCTTACCACCAGTGGACCTGGGCGTTCGGGAGAAGGTGCCCTGGCCCTAGACTCTACGGGAGCCAGCAGTCCTGGGACAGCGGCAGGGCAGGCAGGGTGCTGCCCGGCGCAAACCCCACGCAAACTCGTCCTGCGCGAGT